GGTAATGCATGTTCCGCTGTTTCATGCATGTTGTTTGGCTGCCTCATCTTGAGTTGTTTTGGAGTTCTGGGGGAGTGGCTGTGTGCTTCAGGAAAGAGCAGTGGAACAAAATTACTGCGGCTCTCAGTTCCAGTAGTGCCGCATCAGCAGCTCCTGCGGCTCTTGCCCTTGCTGCCGCTGCATTTGCCGCAGTTTTCCTCTGAAAATCTTCTGAACCAGCGGAAAGGAGTTGCAGCATATGCACAGCTGCCACTTCGACTTCCCAGTAGCAATCAAAGACGAGTCCCACGTATCTGAGCTGTGTGCGGCTTAGGTGGGCTAGTTCTTTTTCTTTAGACTCTTGTTTTGATAACAACGTTTTAGTCTGCAAATGCTGCCTGTTTAGCCAAGCCATGGTGCATGCATGAGTGCCGTTTCACCGACCTGGTGCCGGCTGAGCATGAACACAAGGAATCGGAAGCTTCTGGCTGGGGTGACTGGATCCTTTTGCTTCCTTGTTACTTGTACAATCAACCTACAATATTCAGTAGGGGCATACAAGAAGAAGGCAGGAACCGTCAAGCGGCTGACTGAGTGATTATTTCGCAATTATGTGTCAAATTTGTCATTTTTTGCTTTTGAGTGGAATAGTTTCAAGTAGGCTTGCTGTTGCTGCATAGAGGTATGCACATGTATGCAGATGTAGTAGCGCACAGCGTGTGTTACTTTGGTTAAAAGGTGGGAGCTTTTAAACCAGCAGACCAAACACGTTTATATCAGCTGATGCTGGTTCGTGCGTATGCCGGAGGGGGCATATTTCAGCGCGAGGCAATGCAAGAAACGGACTAAGATGATGGTGGATCGAGCGTTGCGTAGGAGATGAAGCTGGGATCGCCATAGCTCAATACGATTCTCCGCAAACGAGCTTGAAAGGAGAAAGCTAGTGTTTAAAAGCAAAACGCACATGTTCAGCTGTGATGAAGATATGGTCAAGCAGCCGGAGACGAATACATCAAGCGCCGGGGGCGACACAACTGGGCATTTGTACTTGTCATGATGAACTCCCGCAAGGAGTTTGGTCCCAGAGCAAGCTCCTACTGCCAATGTTGGAAGATACCTACCACTATTGCCAGGTCGTTAGTCAACGACTACTCGAGGAAGATGTGCCCGATGGTGGACCACGGCCGTCGAGGTTTCGATGCCACTGCATTGAACGCCACTGGACTCAGAGACAGACATTACCTATAAAGGCCAGT